TTTTTTAGATTGGAAGGGTGGGCACAAGTACGAGTGCGAACTTTACAAGCACCATTACAACTCTAGTCTGGGCAAATACCATAACACTCGACTTTTTCTTCGCCTTCTCTTTCTGCTGAAGAACAAGAAAGAACTGGCCTCTCGAAAAATCAATCTTCAGTACGATGAATCGGTGAAAATATCGTTCAATGATTTGGTTAAGATGACAACATCTAATCTAGGAATGAAACAGGAATTCGTTGCTACTCTTAAAATCTTTGACTGTTACGACATTGAGGATTTTGATTGTGTTCCGGTGTTTGAGTATTTTCGCCAGCACTTTCACAATTTAGTTTATGTTTTTTCCGAGTACGGCCAAGTCGCCAGCGGCAACTACATGAGTCCATCGGTGTTCGGTCACTCGTGTTTTCCCAATGCTACTCGAACGTTCAACGGCTGCCGACTGGATATTCGAGCCATTAAGGAAATTAAAAAGGGCGAGCCAATCACCGTCAGCATAACTCGAGTGGACAAAAGTCGAAAAAAGCGGCATTCATACCTGGAATACAATTACCTCATTGACTGCAAGTGTGAGCGTTGCACTAGCAATTTCGATGAAGGTAATCACCCCATTTACAACTTTAAAATGACCATTTTAAACTTACTACTTTTACTCTTAGAATTCGACTACGCCAACAAGGAACGACTGGAGCTGGAGATGAGCAAGGCGGAGCACACTGATCAGTGGGACAAGGCGTTTCAGATAGGCAAAAAGTTGATTCCACTGTACAAGCACCTGGGCGGCTACGACACCTCCGTCTCCTGGCATCTGATGCGAATGGCTGAACTGTATGAAAAGATTCAAATTTTGAAGCTGGGCACCGTTGTCGGCGACGTTCTCGAGGACACNTTCTACAAAAAGTATCTTCAACTCCTTGAAGAGTCTAAAAGAGAAACTAAGAAATAGTCCGGTCAAGGAGCTGCTTAAAGAGAGGAGGAAATTGTAGAGGCGGCCCTTTTTAACATGCTTTCTAAGTTCTCCCTTCAGTTCAAGTAATCCGCCGCCGAGTCTCAGCGCGTGCAGTGCTTTTAAACCAA